TAAAAGGCTTTATTCCAGCATGAATTAACATGTGATTCTTAAGGTTTTCTTTATGTGTGAAAGTCTTTCCACACTGAGAGCAGGTGAAAGGCTTTATCCAGCATGAATTGGGTGTGAATACGCACATGCTCATTAAGTTGTTTTTTTTGTATGAAACTCTTCCCACACTGGGAGCAGGTAAAAGGCTTTATTCCAGCATGAATTAACATGTGATTCTTAAGGTTTTCTTTATGTGTGAAAGTCTTTCCACACTGAGAGCAGGTGAAAGGCTTTATCCAGCATGAATTGGGTGTGAATACGCACATGCTCATTAAGTTGTTTTTTTTGTATGAAACTCTTCCCACACTGGGAGCAGGTAAAAGGCTTTATTCCAGCATGAATTAACATGTGATTCTTCAGGCTTCCTCTTCGTAACAAAGTCTTTCCACACTGAGAGCAGGTGAAAGGCTTTTCTGAGGTGTGAATACGCACATGCTCATTAAGTTGTTTTTTTTGTATGAAACTCTTCCCACAATGGGAGCAGGTAAAAGGCTTTATTCCAGCATGAATTAACATGTGATTCTTCAGGCTTCCTTTACATGTAAAAGTATTTCCACACTGAGGACAAGTTAATTGCTTTCCTGAAGTGTGAATTAGCATATGCTCATTAAAATTTCTTTCCTGCGTGAAACTCTTTCCACACTGAGAGCAGCTGAAAGACTTCATTGCCGTATGAATTTTCATGTGATTCCAAAGGTTTCCTCTATGGTTGAAAGTGTGTCCACACCGAGAGCAGGTGAAAATATTTTTTCCCGTATGAATGAGCATGTGATTCTTAAGGCTTCCTTTGCGTGTGAAAGTATTTCCACACTGAGGACAAGTTAATTGCTTTCCTGAAGTGTGAATTAGCATATGCTCATTAAAATTTCTTTCCTGCGTGAAACTCTTTCCACACTGAGAGCAGCTGAAAGACTTCATTGCCGTATGAATTTTCATGTGATTCCAAAGGTTTCCTCTATGGTTGAAAGTGTGTCCACACCGAGAGCAGGTGAAAATATATGCACAAAGACACAGATCCCTAAACAAGACCATATCTGCAGATGAAATTTTGTTTGTAGAAGCATTTTTTAAATTTGAACTAGCACCTCATGACTACACCCCGTTAAGTAGGAGAAGCTGCAAAAGACACAGGCGCAAGCGGAATGTAAAAAACACGGTGACATTAATGTTTAAGAAAATATAATGGACGACATAATTGCTTCCTTCTGCAGCCAAAATCTTTTCAGCATGTAATAAGTGGAGTTCCACCTTGTTATTACATCCTGCTTAAGCTTCAGCTCTTCAAGGCCCATTTGTTTTTGTGTTGCTTTTAATCACTCTGTTGCAACAGTGCTTCTGTGGACATATTCAGCAACATTCTTCACTTTTGCCAGTAGTATCCCCTGAATGGGTTCTATAATTTGATGTTGATCCTCCTTGGCCTGACACGAATCGAACTGTCCGAAAGAACCGGTTCGCGGAAAAGAACCGAACTTCCCATCACTACAGAGCTCATGGAGAAACTAATGTTCTTCCTCTGGGGTTTAATGGTGTTTGTGAAGCGTAGCTTGAAGCCTCATGAAGCACTGATTTCCATCCGACTGTTCCTGGAGAAGAGTCAAAGCTTCGAGTGTGTCGAAAACAATGCATCTGGTGGTTAGTAAACAAATAAAGCAGCCAAAAGCGGTTAAACCTCATCTGCTTTTAGGACACACTCAAAGATTGATCACAGATGACAAGAAACACCGTGGCAGGTGTCGATTTAAAAGTATGCACATTTCCTACCTTATTTGTAAATGAAATTCATCTCCAATCCCTATCGTTTCATCTTTATCCATTGTTATTTGTATGCTAGAAAAACCGCCAAATAACGTTTACACGTTGTTACATAATAATACGCAGTATTCAGGGCAGTGTTGCCAACTAATTTTCAGGGGAAGTTGCTAAAGGAAGGTTGATTTGTTGCTAAAAGTTGCTAAATGGCGTTGTGATGTCATTGCGTGATGACGTCATTATGCCATCATGACGCAAAATTGTCACTACATCGAATCTCAGCAATTTATGTTAATTTATATTTGTTTGTAATATAATATAAATGCTTAATATAATATTAAAATATAAATAACTATTTTTAAATACAACATTGAATTATTCAGTACTTACCCTACACATTTTCGTACGATTACAATTTAAGTGTATTATTATTATTTTTTATTATTACTAGTTTGTAAACTAGTAAAACTATACATTCTGAACAATTACAATTTTAAGCAGTGTATTGTTAGTTAGTTAGTATGCTACAATCTAAAAGTCTGTAAAAAATAGGGCACAATCTACTATGTTAATATAGAGGAATTATTTACAGGTGTTGTCCCTGCAATTTAAATTACGCATTGCATTTAGTGTTTTCAGATTACAACGGATAATGTCCTGAAAAAATGACTAACTTTTCGATTTTTCTAGATATTTTTTTTTTTTTACAGTGTACCAACAATCACAGGTACAAGCTACTAACAAGGTGTCATAAATGAACAATTATTCAATTATTAAATTATTCAGTTATTATTATTAAATTGAACAATTGCAAATAGCAGCTAACTTAATTCATGTGATACGTGTACTGCTAGTCATCTTTGGTTTCCTCTTTTTGTGTAATTTAGATTTTAAAAAATGTGTCCCTTTTATTGCTTAAATCACTTATCAAAAGTTGCTAAAAGTTGCCAAATATATTTTAAAAATAGCTAAATTTGTTGCTAGGTGCTTTTGGAAGAAAAAGTTGCTAGGGTAGTATGAAAAGTTGCTAAATCTAGCAACAAAATTGCTAAATTGGCAACATTGATTGAGGAGGTGGGGTGATGGGGGATTCTCCCAGGACCATATGTCTCTGCATCTGCTAAATTATTTTTTATTGATGGTAAATAGGAGTAAAATCTCTCACCCAGGTGATGCTACTCCAACAAAAGACCATGCAAAATACCTAAAATATTTTAAATATATATTTTTTAAATATTGCCAAGTAAAACGTTAACAACAATAAAATCAGAGAAGGACTTTAGCAACACAAACATAAGGAAAACAAAGGAAACAATAAAATCTTAAGAAAAATGCTTTTTTAAATTGTTTTATTGCTTTTTTTATAGAATTTAGTTTCCTTTATTTTTTTATTTTTTATTTTATTTTTTAAATTGTTTCCATTTGTTACTATTTAAATATGTATATAGATTTTATAAACTTATGAGGGGAGGACCACGAGATTAAAGGCCTCAACAATAAATGGTTTCAAGGGGGGTCCTCAGGCCTCGCACTCTGTGCATCCAGTGAGTTGGTTGGTGAAGGTAACTCAATACCTCATTCATGGTGGCGGCGAAATGGTTGAGCTGATGACAGTGCTCACTTAATGTGGCCACCTGCGAGGCTATGGTGGCGTGCAGAGATGCTTCGGCTGGATCCTGAGATGGCAAAGTCTTCTGTGACAAATTAGAAATGGAAAATGCAGTAGGATCCATTTGTGAAAATTTATTTTTAATGGGGCAAACCAGAAACAACATCAAAGAGCAAGTGGGGGGTCAAAACCAAAACAAACAATATAGTGCAAACAGTAAATCCAGAACACCAAACCAGAGACGTGAGCACAGAATAAATGGGCAGGGGTCGACACACAGGGTAGGTCCAAAATACAAAGGGAACCACTCATAATTACCATACAGGTATTGGCAAGACTTTGCAAAGAATGAATGAACCAGAGGGTCTATGCGTGTACAGTATACATTGAGTAATGGCGGAGAAAGAGATTCAGGTGTGGCAGAAGTCAAACTTTGGGAGAGGGCTCCCTCATGTGGCTGGCGGACGGAATAGCAGGCTCATATGACACGTGACATCAAACTTTATCATATTCAAACATTTAAAATGTCATTATAAAAATGGTACTGAAATCACAATCACACATTTAAAAAAAAAAAACAGTTCAAGAGATTATAATTTGTTCTGAAATAATTATTCCTTTAGGCTCATGTTGGACAAACAATGAAAATGTGCCTATGTACATAATCGTATATAATCATGATGTGAAACGTTTAGAAATTAACAAAGAGACACACTCCATTGAAATAATCGGATAAATGGCAATTTGCCAGAAAACATGAATGCTAAAATTATCGGTATAATTATGTAAAGTGGAATATAAATGAAAACTTCTTGTTTATTGATCTGTTGTGATCATCACGGCCCAATCACAGCCGTACTGATATTCAGATCAACAGCACTGTGATATGGATTAAATATTGGAAACATGTCTGTAAAAGATTGTAAAAGGAGTAACATTTAATAATTACTGAACGGCAAGATCCTCAGAGAGGAAGAACACAACTGAAAGGAATCACAATAGAAAAATGGAAAGACTGTGTGAGTGAAGGTGTTTGTGAATGTGTGTAGATGTGTGTTAGTTACAGGATCAGAGAATGACACTGTTCCTCTGTCATAGTCCAGATACACTCTCACACGCTCAAGATCCTGTTCAAACTGTCCATATCGCACACTCCAGACATCATTGTTATAAAAATCATCTCCCTTCCTCGGGTTTGATGCTGTAGTTACTCCGAGACTCCAGCATGAACTCTGTTTAACCTCCACATCCCAGCAGTGTGTTCCTGAGTTAAAACCCTCTGAACCCAGAACACAGTCATAGATGTCAAACCTCTCTGGATTATCAGGAAGTGGTTGTTTGTTCCCGCTGTATTTCACACTGGTCAGATCCTCAGACAGAACCAGATCTGGATGAGCCGTGTTTGGATCCAGAATCACAGGAGCTGATGAGACACA